TACGAATTTTTATGTGTTGCATAGGCCGAACTTGCCACGGTATCATTGGCCAAAACTGTCGGGCCCAAATTGATATTTCAATAAATTCTTATCGTACAGCAATATGGTAGTGAGTGATTGGCTTGGCTTTTATGTATTATCATTTGAAGCTGTCAGTGTCTTACACGTTTGACTGTAAAAAAGCAGCAATTCTGTTTCAAAAAGTTCGCATAACTAGAAGCGAGTTCATGATTTTCTTCCTACCCTCTCAAAAGTAATTTTCTCCTGTTAAGACATTAATTTACATTAGAGTTTTCCTCGCCATTTTTTCGTCGTTGAATACCCATGCAGCCAACTAAATTGCTAACATCCGTAAACTTATAAATATTAACTCAAAAACAAAAAATATCAGGGATGGCCGAACTTGCCTCTGTCTCCCGTATGCAGATTTTTTATATCATTGATAATTGGTAAAAATGTATTCACAATATAATTTTTGCATCAATGACGCCATTTTCGTCCAGTCAAAGCTAAAGTAGATATTTGTTCTTGTGCGTAACGTATTTGATGGGTCGGTGGCGCAGTGGATAGCGCGCTCGTTTTCACCAAGATGGACGGATTCAATCCCGTTTACCTGCCCGACCAAGCGGATTTTCTCCGGATACTCCAGCTTCCTCCCATATTAAGAATTAAACCCTCTGTGTGCTTCTGTCAGGGCACAAAAAGAATGATTGAGATAAGCTGGGGGAAAACTGTTTTGTAATTACTATAGAAAAAAGTGCATATTACATATTTGACGATAAGTCTAAGTAAATGTATGGAGATGTTAGTTCAAAAATGAAATTAAAAAAAGAAAACATTATAATACTTTGATGTAACTGAAAGTGTCTTGATATGGATATGTAGTCTCAACTACTGTTCCATCCTGAAACACTGGGTTGAATTTCAAATTTTGTAACAGTCACCGAGGTTTGACAGGTAATGATGCCAAATAAAATTACAGTTTCTGTCTGTAACTAATTAGAAATCGGCACGCGTTTTGAAAAAGTAATACGTTGCTAAAAAAGGGCGTTGTACTTGGGTTGGTTGTCTGGAAAATTATTGTTAATTTCGTCATGAATGCATTTTCCATTGCTTCTTTGATGAGACGCGATGCATAAATAATGTAAAGACTATATCCAGACTTTCAAAAATGTCAATTATTTCGTTCATATTCTCAGAAAATGGAAATCAAAAGCTGATGAAATTTTAAATGATCTCTTTTTTGAAGATATCTCCTGGTAGAAAAAACAACAGAACTGGGTTGATGACAAAAAAGATCTTCAGAAAATATCCGCATTTTTACTTTTTGTGCCTGTGGAAAAAACTGAAATTAAAAAAAACGTCTTGAAGCACCGACAAAGAGATAAATGCAACGGACAACAGTTCCAGAATTTTCCGGTTATTTTTCATCCTTCCGGAAATAACCAATGAAGGCTGATGGAGTGTGACGTGCTTGTGATGTCATAGTATGATAATCTCTGAACGAAGTTTCATGCCTGTTAGTATCACATTTTATGTGATAAACTTTTTTTCACTTAGAATGTATATTATTTTTTATCTAAATACACAAGTAATAAAACATGAAGATTGCTTTCACTATATGAAGAAATTCATGTATGGGTTGAAACACAATTGTCTTTGCTTCAAGGATACACTTCCTGTTTCCCCACTGGACGTCTACCTCCAGACGAAAAAAAATTAAGGCAAAGTGTAAAAAGGGAAAGCAATTCTGTATACGCACGCATGTGTTACCATTAAAGAGCTTTGCTCGGGCGCCTTCGATGCCCAAGAGCTACGCTCTTATAAATACAATATGTCAATACTTTCCTCTTATCACATACCTGGCATTTTTGGGTACTCAGCTTATAATTATTACAGGAATACTTCACTGGGTTTATGGCCATGTTTTCATTTTGTTAATACTATATATATAAGAGGGATGTCTATCAAGTATTCCTCATTTAAAAACTTCCCCAAAAATATTCATATTATTAAATAATTGGGACAATTATACATTTTAATTTTCAAATAAATATAAGGACTTATAATATATAATGTTATAAGTTCTGTCACATAGCTATCCTGCTGACATCTGGTCAAATAAGCCCAATGTGCAAACCAGTCTGAGTCAAAGGGGTAGTGACAAAGTCAAACTTTCTCTTGATTAGGTTTGCAATATAAACGGTCTATCTGTTGCAACAAAGTTTGCACAGATATGTATTATATCCTTGCACTTGAATCTAATACTATTGTAGTTATCTGTTGCAGAAGACCTGCACAGTTACAATGCAATAAACGCAGTATTGTGGTAAACTGTCGCCGCTAGTCCACAGTACAATCTGCACATACAATTTGTAATAATGTGTGAGACATTGTCTACACAGCTACAAAATACTACCTAAACCGAGAGGAAGAATGGTACTATTACAAGCATTAAGTTGAGTCTACCCCACATATGCCAAAATGTTTGGTATTCCAACATCACGCCCTTCACATGATAACCAAATAATTTTGCAATTGCTAGGCATACTGTGAATAAAATTTTCATGCCACCAGGATTGGCTCGTTGGACCAAAATATCTACACCTTGAGACTGCCTGAGTCATAACGTGAAACAGTTGAGATCCCCACACTATAACCATATACAGTATATTTCACTTAACATTCATGTGGTTTAATTTCACATTTCGATTATCATCATGTTTTTTTGATGCACGTTTTTCCTGCTTTGTAATATAATTCAATTCTGTTATTATCACTTGTTTTGATGTCGATTTTGCTTATTATCACTTTATTGTGGCCACTCACCAAAACATCAAAGGTAAATGATAGTAAGAATCAATTGTACATGTTTATGCCCACAGGTTCTTGTGTCACACCTAGACGTGTTATGTATATTATCAACCTCACTTTTCTTTAAGGTCCACCAGACGGTATGGCAACCAGTTTTAAGTCTGATATGCGTTTCTGTGTTAGAAATAAATCATGTTAAATATGTACTGAAATGCATGTGTTTGTTTCATCTTAAATTACTGCTCAAGTCTCAAGAGTTGAGGTTAACATATAAGTGTCTGTTATAAGTAAATGTTCTCTGTGAACGTGACAGAATTGATTGAGTAACAATAGAATATCTTTCAACTAAAAAGCGTTGCAAATAATCAAACCTTGTTCAGGTTTCAAGTAATTTTCATGAGATTGCTTTTGTATTGTTAGCTCACTTGGCTCACCTGGTCCGAAGGACCAAGGTGAGCTTATGCCATACCATGGCGTCCGTCGTCTGTCCGTTGTCCTTCAGTCGTCTGTACGTCAGCAATTTCTTCAAACAACTTCTTATTCTAAACCACTGATTGGAATTTAACTAAATTTGACTGGAGGCATCCCTAGGTGATGGGATTAAAGATTGTACAAATGGTGGGGCTGACCCCCCAGGGGGCTGAGGCGTGGGGCCGAAAGGGGGCAATTTAGCTATATTGCTATAAACGACTTTTCCTGTAGAACCATGCAATGAATATCAATCATATTTGGTTGGAATCTTTCATGGGAGGCGAGGATTCGAAGTTGTACAAATGGTGTCGCTGACCCCCCAAGGGGGCTGAGGGGCGGGGCCTAAAGCGGTTATTTGGCTATATTGCTTTCTCCTCTGGAGCCAAGAGATGGATATCAACCATATTTGACTTGACACATCCCTAGGTAGTGGAGATTCTAAATTGTACAAATGGTGGGGCTGACCACCCAGGGGGTTGAGGGGCGGGGCTAAAAGGGGGCAATTTGGCTGTATTGCTATAAACGACTTCTTCTGTAGAACTATGCACTGGATGTAAATCAGATTTGGTCCGAAGCATTCATGGGTGGTGGGGATTCAAAATCGTACAAATGGTGGGGCTGAGGGGCGGGGCTAAGGGGTGGAGCCAAAAATTGTTTATTATTTGGAAATGGTTGAGATCCCCATCCTGTAACCATATATACAATTACTGAGTATAAAGAGAAGAATGCACATATGCTTTCAGGATGGCCCTAGGGTCTGGCTTCACCCTGAGAGACATAGTCCCTGGGTCATAACTTTGAAACAGTTGAGATCCCTACCCCAAAACTATATATACAAATGCTGGGTATAAAGTTACCAATGCAGTCATGATATTAGATTTGACTAGGATGATGATATTTGGCCAGTAAGTACCTTCGATGTAGTGCTATGAAGTTTTTCCTTAAATACATTACTTTGACCTTTGTTGAAATTCACATGGGTCAAATATGTTAGAACGTTTGAACCACTTCTTCTGAATAACTTAGACACATATGCTAATGATATATTTTGCAAGTAGTATGCTGTGATGTGGTGCTATAAAATTTCCTCAAATAGATGACCTTGACCTACTTTCAATGTCAAAGACATACTATATGTAAAACCTTTAAGCAACTCCTTCCTAAAAAGAAGACTGCCATTAAATAAATGACCTTGAACTACTCGACCAAATTTAGTATGAAATATCATTGGACCAAGAGGACTCAACAGTGTGAAAACAGAGGGTCTAGCTATCCAAAATGCATCAGGATTGGGCTTAATAGAGGTAACCAGAGAAAAATCTTAATAATCCTCCGTCAATAAACATTCCCCATGATTGCTGAAATGTCCAGGTGAGCGATACAGGCCATCTTGGCCTCCTGTTGCTGAACACGAAGAAAAGATCAGATGCTTACCACCAGGATAAGCCTCAGGATCTGGTCCAACCCTTAGGGACTTTATTCTCATGTTATTACATGGAAATGATTAAGATCCAAACTCTATGAATATATACGTACACATGCATACAGATTTCAGCATCATTGAGACTAGAGACAGATCCCAAAATGGAAAAATATTTACAATGCATGTTTTAGTAGGAATAATTTTTTTCTGTGATTGCTTAAATATACAGGTCAGCAATACAGGCCTTCTTGCCTCTTGTTTTAAACTTTTAATGTTTTTTTTTCTATTACAGAGAACATATACAAGTTGACATGTACAGACTATATGCCATTGGTGTTGACCTTTTAAGAGCTGTACTAGAAAACAGTTCTAAAACAGCAGCTACAGTTACGCGGGTTGCCAAAGTTCTCCTGCAAGCACTGGCTTTATTTAAGGAATTGAAAGAGAACAGAGAAGGAGCAAATACTAGAAGCGGTTCAAGAAAATATGTTCACGACTCCTTAGCAGTGTTTTATGATGTGCGAGAACGACTGACTCGATTTCTTACCAACAGCTGCACTTCAATGAACGACCCAACTAAATGCAGGGACAGTCTGTTGGTAAGATATTATCTTTGTCAACCACTAAAATGATAATTGCATACATTATGAACTGAAAGAATACATTAGAAATTAACAATGCTTTTTCAAATGTTCAAAAGTAAAACAAATAACATCAAACGTCAAAAACACTTTTGTTTATGTGAGAACTTCCATGTATGTCTTTGTCAAAATCAACATAAAAGCAGCAAATAACAAATTGGTTCCATGTTAAATTCCTAAAAAAAAGAATAATTTTATAATATGAATGTATTGATCTGCTTAGGTTTCATAACACCCAACTCGTGGGTTATTGATAATTTCATTGTGTGAATATAACATCAATTTTCTTCTGTTTGTATGTGTTATGGGAAAAAATAATTATGATTTATACCCAATTTCATGATTTTATTCCTTATTCTATAGTCTACTCTTTGAAGTTTATAGTTTATACTTGAAAATAAGATTGCTCTGTTTGATGTGTTTTCTTTGTAAAGAAATTTTATTAAAGTGGTCACTATCCAATGGAATGAAATGTAATTATATGTACACTATTCACTTGGAAAGACTTCAATTTATATTCCTGTGTCTATTTATATATTAATCACAGATTCAATTAGATTCACTTCAGGTGTTTATTAAGTATTGCTGGCTAACATCATTCATCTGCTGTCATTCATTTGAATTTTCACATTTTTTGACCTCTAAAATCTTAGTAAACTTTATTAAGAAACACAGAACCTATTAATACAATATTTTTGGATTGACAGGCCCAATGCATCAACCTATAGTGATCGTGCTTGCACAAAAAGACAAACTGTCTATATTTTCTTGTTGTTGAGTTAGTCTTCGACCAAAAATCTGACAAAATATGCAAAGGGATCTTTGACACTGCAGATAGAAATTAAAGCAGTATAGGCTATTAATGAATGTAGTCATATATGCCTACTGCATGATTTATGAAACTGTAAGTAGGATACATTGAACACATAAATTGTATTTAAGAATTCCTTTTTTTGCTGTGATAATATAATACAGCTTTCAAAAATAAATATGTTATAACAATGAAAATTAACATAAACGTTAGACTATCAATTTGATAATGTTTACCATGTGTTTATAACCATGCCAGATAAAACCATATCGTAGTCAAATCAAAGTATAGAATACATAATGTGTATAGTTAAAGGAGATATTCAAGTTGCACTAGCTGTACTATTGTTTATGCATGCTATATTACTTTGGTTATATTATGTATACACTCATAAAGAAAAATGTATAAAAATAGAAACAACTAATTTTGCTTTTGTAACAGGAGCAAGACGGGCCCAGTTTTGTTTTATTTTATTCCACATAAATGAATATGGACATCATTGTGAAGTCTGCCAATTCAGGATAAAATCTATAGAAAAAAAACACAAGCATTTATGCTGCAAATTCTCCAGTGACATGGCCAATTTGATTTTATATAACACAATAGATATATGGTTTGTTCACTTTTTGGGTCAGAGTGTGGTTGATATACTTAATAGTAAGTTGTGCTATTTTGCACTACCAGTTAAAATTATTATATATTTCCAGGTTTGGGATCAGATTCTATGTATAACAATGTCATCCAAAACACTGCAGGAAGGATTCCAAAGAGTTGTTATAGAGGAGCTTGAGAAAAGACTTGCCACCAAGGTAGTTATCAATTTTCAAACAGTTCATTTGCTTAACTTTTAAACATGCATATGGATAGTAAGTATAATGCCAGATGTTTTATATCCTGTCCTATTTGTTGCTTGCATGTTTATGCATAATTAAAGAGACTATCCACTTTGATTGGTTAATTGGTTTCTGCAAACACTCTCATGAAAATAGTTCAGTTATAATACAATTCATTGTGCACATTCATAATGACAAGTTCCAAGCAAAGTTTGAATGCCATATCCATGCATACATAATTAGGGCCCCGTATCGGAGATACGGGTGCCCTATAGTAATCACTCTGTCTGTCTGTCTGTCTGTCTGTCCGTCCACAAATTTTGTTCCTGGCTGATAACTTTAGTATTTATTGACAGATGTACATGAAACTTGGTCAAAATATTCAGTTCTCAAAAATACACATTGGGGTAAAAAGTCAAGGTCAAAGGTTAAGGTAATAAGGTTCAAAGGTCAAGGTCAAATTTTACATCTTTTCACTGATGAACATTTTGTTATGACATTATGAAGCAAAGCTGATCAGAATTAAACAAGGAGTCAACTGACCAAAGGTCAAGGTCATCGGGTCAGGGGTCAATGTCAAATTTTGTAGCTTTTCACTGGTGAACATTTCGCTATGACATTATGAAGCAAAGTTGTTCGGAATTTAACAAAGAGACACACTTATGTTAAAAAGTCGAGGTCAAAGGTCAAGGTCATAACATCAAAGATCAAGGTCAAATTTTGCATCTTTTCACTGATGAGCATTTTGTTATGACATGATTAAGCAAAGTTGATCAGAATTAAACAAGGAGTCAACTGACCAAAGGTAAAGGTATTTGGGTCAAAGGTCAAGGTTAAATTTTGTATCTTTTCACTGGTGACCATTCGCTATGACACTTTGAAGCAATGTTGCTCAGAATAAACAAGGAGTCAATTGACCAAAGGTCAAGGTCACTGGGTCAAAGGTGAAGGTTAAATTTTGTACCTTTTCCCAGATGAACATTTTGTTATGTTATTATGAAGCAATGTTGTTCAGAACTTAACACAGAGTCAACTGACCTTAGGTCCAGGTTACGGGGTTCAAAGGGTCAAGGTCAAGTTTGGTATTTTTTACTGATTAACATTTTCTTATGATAATAAGAAGCAAAGTTGGTCGGAATTAAAGAATAAGTCAACTGACTAAAGATCAGGGTCACTGGGTTAATGGTCAAGGTCATTTGGGTCCAAAGGTCAAAGACAAAGTGGATCTCTGACTTTGACTCTGGCTCTTGAAGGAGGAAGTATATAAGGTGAAATAAAACAAACCAAAGCTAACAAATGAGTATTGCACTGGTATTTACATTTCTGTTAGCCCCACAAATATGGAGGTGGAAGGAAACAAGACTCACATCATAGTACATGGGAAATGTATATTTTGCTTCCTTGCGACTCTTTTTGAAGTCCAAATGTCAAACGTCAAGCTCAGCTATATGGGCAGCTTGCTTCTTGATGAATATGGGGGATATATTGCCACAAGACGGGGCCCTTACTGACCTGTCAGTGTTCTAGTTACATAATTGATGAGGCTACCTAATTCTGAATAGTTTCTTTGTAATTTCTATGCAGTAACTCCCATGAAGATGGTTTGATTTTAACCAAAATATCTGTGCACATTGTAATTCACTGGTGCCAGTTTCCAATTTGATGTTTGCATTGTTTTCATGCAAAATCTCTTAAAAATGGTTCACTTTCAGCCAACTTTGGTTGGCATGTGCATTGTAATTTTAGTTGGTGTAATATTGTATTGCTTGTTGTTGAGGTTTTAGTATCTGTTCATTCAACTTCACATGGAAGCCAGAGATTTTCCTGGTATAAGTAATTTTTAATTAATTGTACTTGCACTTATGATTCATCCTATTGAACAGCAAAATGTCTACACCAAATCACTATACTGACACCAGATATATTATTTCCTGGGAGCAGAAGATATGTATTTACTTATAGGTTAAGGGATATATTGTTTTGACACTATCTTAAATGTGACCTACATGTACATTGTGTCCAAAATTGTTGAACATTTTTTATTAAACTTTGAAAACAAAAGTATTGCCATTTTGCTATGGCTAGTGTCGTTTACTATTGCAATCATAAGGGCCACTCATTGGATATGCAGGTGCCCTATAGTAAACACGGTGTCTGTCTGTCTCCATTCTTGTGTTTCTGGGGATTATCTTGGAAACCAAAAACTAATCTTTCTGAAATTTAAAATGGTGGCACACTGTGAAATGTAGATGTGCAATAAGAATTTAAAACAAATAGACTGTTGGGGGAACGGTCCTTATCTTGGAATCCAAAAAGTCTAAAATAAATTATGGAAATTTGACACAGTGATGCACTATGATATGAATATGTGCAATAGAGGGGTTTAAAAATGTTTTTAAGGTCAAGATAAAATTTGACTAAAAATAGATCTGGTGGGTAGGGGGCAGGCACATGGCAGGGGGCCTTTGCTAACCTGTCAGTATTCTAGTTGATATATATTAGACTATTCCTAGAAGAGAATTTTCCAGTACATCATTGTTCCCTGTTTTTATTTTCAGAATTTTGATGTTATCCTGACAGTTTATTGTGAGCATCTCGAGAAATTTGGGAGTGTCGTACAAGACATCTTAAGTACAATGGCTTTCAAGGTAAAATGAAAGTTTGCAGGTGTTCAGAAACTTTTGAAACTTGCATATTTTCTTTTTTTTTTATAAAGTTCTGACTTCCTAAAGTATTAATGGTTCATCTGCTCTCAATATTATGCCTCATACAAACATGAAACACTAATTTTATATCAAAAGCAATACTTACCACGTCCAATTATTATGCAAATGATTTCCAACTACCAGTTTTATAACTACCAAACGAAAGTTTCAAATGCCCCGCGCAAATACGAAACTACTCCGTTAGAGATTTGGGTACAACTAGGGTTATCCTCCAGGGTTGGGGACCGGTCTTACTTCAGCAGGTTGGGGGCTCGCTGAATGCTCAGCGGAACCCACCTCTGGGGCTGGGGAGAAAGTTGTTTTTGAAAGACCTATTAGGGCTCTAAAACGTCTCGCTCCAAGACCAATATCCCCTCCTCTCGTAGGTCTTGGCCCTTCGGAGCCTAAGAGAGCTTGTAAGAGGACTTTCTCAGACAGTCTCGAGAACTCTAACTTGCCCTTAACAGCAGATACTTCAGTGTCTTCTGTCAGGAGGGAAATGAAATGGAGAATGGGGGCAGGGACGATGACGTCCTCAACCTGTCACCTCGGAGTGTGCTGACTGAGTTTCAGTCAGAACCTCCTTCACAAGGCTTTGCCTGAGGGTTCTGTTGTTTCCTCGACTTTGGCTGTTGCCCATGCTAGGATGGCAGAGAAGGCTGCGTGCATCTGGTGCAGCTGGTCTGCTGTTGAGTTTGTCAGATTTGTCTGAGGTTAGGTCCTTAGACTACGCCATTCACAACGCCAAACTTGAGAGTCAACCAGCTTAGCTGGAAACTCATGAGCTTCGACAATGGCCAGGGCCGGCGACTGACCAGGTACACCACAAACTGGAGAAAATCCTGCGGCTTTCTCTCTAGGTACTCCATATTTTGATTTCCTGGCGGTGACCCTTTTCTGATTATCGGAAGTGCCAATCCGGGAGTTAGGTGTTGATGAGAGTGTCTGAAGGCCTCTGCAGCTTTGCAGTGTACACTGCTGGCCAATTTGGTTCTTACCAGGTGAGCCTCTGTGCTTAAAGGTAAGCCTATTGAGGAACCTTACCTTTCCAGGCTTTTGTCCTCTCCCTTCGAGGGTCCTTAGCTCTTCAGGGATGCCCTTCCTTCTATTCAGAAGGAAGTTAAGGGGGACCCAGTAGCCTCAGCACTTTTGGTTTCAAAAGTGTCGGCTGCTGGTAAGGCTGGAACCCCTCAGAGTTTGGGCCAGGCCAAGACGAAGGCTAAGTTGAGGCCTCGCCAGACTCAGTCTGCGGCTAAGGCTAAGTCCACCTTTAAGGCCAAAGCCAAAGGAAAGGGCAAGCAGAGTGCCAAACCCTCTAGGGGTTAAAAGCAGTGTTCCTGACTTCTTCCCTTGTTCCACAACTCTTCCGTTTTAGTCCGAACAAGTAGATCAGAGGTCTCTCTTACCTGGTCTTATAACGGTCGTAGACAGGCCGATAGACGTTTGGGAAGGTCTTGGCCTTCCTCAACCGGACCTTCCAGTAGGAGGTCGACTAGTGCATATGATAACATGTAGGGTGTTTGTGAAAAGAAAAGTGTTTTCAAAACCAGTAAATATTGTTATGCCCCTTGGGCCTGTTGTATTGTATATTATAATGTAACTGTGCATCTTATCCTGAATTGTCTATTGAGCTGATGTTATAGATGCTTGCCTCCACACAATATCAAAATACCTTTTTTTTAAGTGGCAGTATGATTGATATATTGTAGTCCCAAATATTTGTATTCCAGGCTTTGGAAAAAGGATCAATCATTTCAACCTATGGCTCTCGGTCACAGGATGAAGTGAAGAAGCGCTACGCAAAACTCTTGTCCAGTGTATTTGAGAAGTATTGGAGAGAGATGACAGAGGAACAGATGTTTCAAGAAGCTCTCAAGTGGACTCCATTTGTACATTTTGTGGACATGTTCTGTTAGTATTGAATTGATTGAAGTAATATCTCTGTCTTCACTTGCTCAATTAAGTAATGATCACCTTGTTCACCCATATCCATTCATTTGATATGCTCATCTATGATGGGACATTGATATATTATGGCATTGGGTGGTTGACTGGGCCTCAACACTATTTTATCTGAACCATAACGTGCCTGCTATGTTCACAAAACTCCCCATAAATGATTTGTCAGGAAATCTGCAGTTAGAAAGCCACCTTTTGCTTTATAACCACTATTTTGCTTCATCACAACTTCAGTGATCATTAAGGTTCATTTGCCTCTTGTTGAGGATATGGAAAATCCTGGTTTGTTATATGTATATTCAGGACTATTGGAACCTTTGTTAGCCCACTATTTTATGATAGCCAGAGATCTTGAATTTTGAGAATTAAAACTATTTAGCACTATTTCTCAGAAAATATGGCAGTAGTCTTTTTCACATTTCAAAAGTAGGTCCACCATGGTCCAAATAGTTATGCATATTGAATGATCAGAAAACAAAAATGGCTGAGAAGTGAACACTGTTTCGTTTAAGTGTTAGATTGTTAGCACTATTTACCAGAAAGTACTGGAGGGATCCTTCTCAAATTTTATACGTAAGTTCCACATGGTCCATAGCTATATGCATGTTGAATTTTGAACTGATCAGAAAACCAATATGAAAGTCTGGTGGCCGTTTTAAATTGTAAGTGTTAAAGTACTGGAGTGATCTTTCTCAAATATCACATGCAGGTTTCCAATAGTCCTTCATTGTTCATGTTTCTTTTTGATAATGATTGGAAAAATAAGATGACCATCAGACAACCATCTTGAATTTTGGCAGTTCAATTTTGTTATCATTATTTCTCATTTGTTGATTTTCATAGGGCCCTTATTTGTGCATGTGTCATTTGAGGCTGATCAGAAGAAAAAAAATGTATCACCAGACAGCCATCTTAGATTTCGACAGTCCAAATTTGTTATCACTATTTCCTAACAAATACCAGAATTTTTTTTCTCCAGTTTCTAATTTATGTTCCTGCTTGTTGCATATTAAATCCTGTGCTTGTAAATCAATCAAATGACAACATTACTTTGAAAGAAAGTGTCATACACAGCATTATGAAGTTTTGATAAACAGTTAGCACAAGGTGTATTTACTGTTTACTTGACTCAATCTAACAAATAACAGAAAAGGGAAAAAATCAAACCTTTAAAGGTGGTATGATGGTGGGCATAAAGATCCCTCTGGGATCTCTTGTTGACATTTTGTGAGAAAGAAAGCTGGAACAATAGAACAGTAAGCTGATAAGCCTACTAATACCCTTGATAACCATGGAAGGTTTTACAAATTTTGTCAAGAAACATTTCACAAGCTTATAAGGAAAATGTGTACCATGCAAACTCTTTAGTGGACCTTGTAAAGCTATGAGTCACTGCCACAAAGTAGTAGTCATAGTAGGACCCACAGAACTCCAGTTATAGCTATAACTCCTCAGCCAATCAGAGGCAGGCCATAGCGTCCATCATGAATCTATACAAAGTCTATCCTTTAGGTAGCACTTTACATAGAATTAACAGTCGTTCCCATATGGCAGCCATGTTGAATCCCAAAATTTATAAGTTGGCCTTTTGATGTAATAGTATATCCCCTATGTATCACTCCCAGAAAGAAATTGAAAGTACCAAAAGGGCAATAATTTTGGGAGTTATCTGGACAAGCTTTCATCCAAGGACAGACAGACAAGCTAATTCCAGATTATACACATACCCCCTCTCCCATCCCCTCCCATCCCATCCTGAACTTCGTTGTAGAGGGCTTTAATATAGTAATAAAAAATTTGCAATTGCATTACAAAACGTTTTTTTACTATTATACCAGATTTGGAAGAGCAGGGAAAGCACTTAAGCAATGATAGTGGATTACAGCTGACCAAAGCAACCACTGCCATTGAGGATAGAATGGGACAGCTGGTGAACGGAACTATTCTGGTGAAAGATCATAGTGTCATTTGTGCAAACTTCGAGCGTTTTGAAAAGCTCATCAGGTTGATGAGCAAAAAGAACAATAGTAAAATGGGCCCAACATACATCCGACAGCTGGTAGACTTGAGGAGCAAGGAGCTGCAGGCATTTTTGAATGCTTATGGTCTTGTGACAGTTTTGATTGACATGTGCAGTCGATTTGGAGGTATTATGAAAACTGAAATTAATAAATCCAGGACCAGAAATATTTTACACTCAAATGCTGTAATAATTATTTTCACAAAATTCTGTTAAAATGATTAACAAAATAATCAACATAATGTCATTTTTGTCTTGTTATGCCACAGCATGGGTGGTGTCATGTATTTGATGGGCGTGCTAGATTTTGACACTGCTTGCATTTGTCAGTAAATTAAAGCTAGCTTTGAGGTACTTGAATGGATGATCAAGACTGAAGCAATTATATTGTCAGTCACACAATTTGAGGTCAGTCATTGGGTCATTGTTAATAACAATGCATCACAATTTATGAGTTTTAAAATATTATAATGCAACAGTTGTTTAATGTCAAGTATGCATATAATGTTGTTTAATGGTACATTATATAACAAGTGATTTTGCAATACAATTGTAGCCAAAGGACGATCCTTCCCCTGAAGGAAATTTCCCCATTTTATTTATTTATTTATGCATTAATTAATTTTTAATTCAATTTTATATGAATATAAACCATTTTGTGTAGCCCATCTATTTAGTTTAGTGCCTTTGCATAGGAGGGCTGACATACAATGCCGCATCTTCCACTCATTGTTTTTTTTTTTTTTTTTAAACACAGCACGTTGGTTTAAGGACTCAAACAACTAAAAAAAACTACTATAAGTCATTACTAAGCTTTTAAGCTAATAGCTTTAATATTTGAAGTTCAACACTAGTGACAACTGTCTAGATTTATAGATACAATCCTGACAAAGGCTCCAGGCATCTGCTTTTGACAACCAGAAGTTTACAAACCAAACCGGTGAAATGGGACGGGAACACCCCGACTTTTGACCCCATATCAATCCGCCATCACATAAATTAAAATCTACTAAAACTGTACGTTTTTCTCAAGTTAAATATCTTTAGAATTCCTTCAATGCAAAATATGTTAACAATTACCCGTTGAAATTACTCAAGAGGCGCTGTATGTAACCAGAAATTGTTTAGGTAGGGATTACAATTGTATGAAACATTTGCTGATTGGCTGATTTAGTTGCGTGCGTCCTTAGCACTTAGTCCTTCTTCTCTGAAACAAAGAGAATGATAACAACCATATTTGGTTTGAAGCATCCCTAGGTGGTGGGTATTCAAAATTGTACAAATGGAGGGGCTGTACCCCCCTCACCCCAGGTGGATGAGAGTTGAGGCCAAAAAGAGGTAATTTGGCCATATTGATTTAAGCGACTTCCTCTCTTGAATTAGGAGAAGGAAAACAACCATAGTTGATTATAAGCATCTCCAGATGTTGGGGATTCAAATTCAAAATGGAGATGGAGGCTGACTCCCTTGGGCGCTGAGGGGTGGGGTCAAAAAGGGGTAATTTGGCAATATTGGTTTAAGCAACTGCTTCTCTGAGAGTTTGAGAATGATATCAACAAAACTTGATTACAATTGTCCCTAGATGTAGGTTATCATCTACACTCTATTATTACACTGCATACTGAGTAGCTGGTACATACATTATACATATGAATAAACACTATTCCAAGCTCTCATTCTAAGATTTACACACTCTTTTCTTGCAACAAGTGCCCACAGTGTGAGATTTAAAGAAGTGATGATGCACTATGATGATCCAGAATTATTGTTTCTATTTCAGTAAAAAGAGAAGCTTTAGAAAGACGATACAGGTCCTTACAGAATCTCGATGACGTACAAATGGTGCAACTGTGTAAACCAGGAGTTTTGGATGATATGATGCACCCAAATGAATACCAGCCAGTAGTTACAGCCTTCGAGCTTAGCCCAGAAGAACTGGATTTAATTCCACAAATGAAACATTGTTTCAACAGTACTGTTTTCACCACCAAATGGGACAGCACAGGCCAAAAGGTTGCACGACAACGCGAAGAGATGTTGTCAATTGCAGAGACGTTTGAACACGTTTGGCAGCCCTCCATAGTTTGGTGGACCTCTGTCAAGACAAAGCTCAAAGAAGGATCCATGACATTCCAGGAGTTTAGCAAGTTGTTTGGTAACATGGACTCTCCAACACTAGAAAGGGAGTTCTCTTTGATGGATGAAAATGGACCCTGGATAAAGGAACGTACGGATGAGATCCAGCTGTACAGAAATCTCGCGAAATGTGTAGAAGGAGCCAAGATCATATTGCAGGTGGTGGACAAGTATGACCTGAAGGGAGACTTTACACCTATCAAGCTGATCACGTCTGTTGTAAGTATCTCTTGTCATGTTGAACTGGACCAGTTGTACGGACCATTTACTTGGTATTTGTCATTCATTTGCATGCATAGTTGAGTATTCTAATATTCTAAATTCTAATATCTGACAGAATGTTTTGGTGATGTAATTCAAAATGAAAGTATTTGATGTGGTTGCTGGTATTTATATGACAAAACAGTTACAGACAATTGAACTAAAGCAGCTAATACTTTCTCTGTTAGGTTTTGATGGTTTGATGGTTTGATGGTTTGGATGAGGATGAACAAAGGATGTTAATGATAAATGTAACATTAGGATGTTTTCATGTCATATTCAAGTAACAAGATTAAACACAAAATCATGTGTGTATAAATTTAACCAATTTATGAAAGTCTTTCTGAAATATGCATAATGGACGACCAGAGTATTGCTTGATACTAAAATTAAGTCAACAGTTTACAAGTTACTTGTGAACACGATAGCAGTCTAGATCATGACTTACATACCTAGCCCAAATTTACTGCATCAAAATTTAGCACGCCAAATTTTTACCACTTGAATCTTATAGCAAAATACACCAAATTTTAGCAGTTTCAAATGTCTCAGTTCATTGTATCTTGATTTTGTTCTTTTGTGAATTTCAATTCCCACAATTATTTGAAGTCTAACGGCTTTCATAAGCACAGTAATCACAAATATCATAATTTTTGGCAGCAAAGGGAAGATCAGTAAATTTTGTTGTTACTTTTTGTTCAAGAATTTTATTCCTAAGAGAAGATTGCAGCAGGAATAGTTTTTTCCACTTGAGCATATATGACTTTTTGCAGATGAGTGGAACAGACATAGCCATGAATACCCTGGACCAATCCCTGAAGCAGACCTGTGCTGTCCTCAGGGGTGTAGACGAACGCCATATTGAGTGTCTGAAAGAGTTCATCAAATGTGATCCACTTATACTCTGGTTGAAGGAGTCGATGCCGTGTACGTAACCTTATTGTACTTAAACATGGATCTTGGTAGACTTTGTTGTTATAAAAGTGTTTTCACTGTGTGGAAATGCTTGTGTTTTTTTAGTATTCAGTAAATTTGGGTGAAAATATCCACACACAAATATTTATGTAGAATAATAAAGGTTTCTGAACCATTGCCAAAGTGAAAATATCGTCGCACTGACTCGCAGTAGCTTGAAGCTGAAAGACAACTGCCATAGATACATAGTGAAAATATCGTCACACTGACTCGCAGTAGTGAAAATATCGTCACACTGACTCGCAGTAGCTTGATGCTGAAAGACAACTGCCATAGATACATAGTGAAAATATCGTCACACTGACTCGCAGTAGTGGAAATATCGTCACATTGACTCGCAGTAGTGAAAATATTGTCACACTGACTCGCAGTAGTGAAAATATCGTCACACTGACTCGCAGAAGTGAAAATATCGTCACACTGACTCGCAGTAGCTTGATGCTGAAAGAAAACTGCCATAGATACATAGTGAAAATATCGTCACACGGACTCGCAGTAGCGAAAATATCATCACACTGACTCGCAGTAGTGAAAATATCACCACACTGACTCGCAGTAGCTTGATGCTGAAAGACAACTGCCATAGATCCATAGTGAAAATATCGTCACACTGACTCGCAGTAGTGAAAATATTGTCATACTGACTCGCAGTAGTGAAAATATCGTCACACTGACTCGCAGTAGTGAAAATATCGTCACACTGACTCGCAGTAGTGAAAATATCATCACACTGACTCGCAGTAGTGAAAATATCATCACACTGACTCGCAGTAGCTTGATGCTGAAAGACAACTGCAACAGATACGTTCATTGACTTTAGCCAATACTTAACACAACAACTGTCACACAGAACACCAATGTAATCTAGACCTCAAAATGTGCTGCTCAATTCTGCATTAATTAACGAGTATATTTACCAATTTTAATCAGTCTTTTTACACCCAATTTCTTACAACGAAAAAAACAACAATGTAGAGAGCAATACACAAACCATAAAACTGGGGGGAAATCTGAATAAAAAGTAGAACATTAATTGATAAGTAGATTATGACATAGTTTATAATAATAATAGTTTGTTTACAATGTATATTGATAATGTAAATACTGGACAAACTCCTACATGATAATATTCTGTGTGTGCATTATATATTTATATATACAAAATATATGAATGTTTCCTTAAAGTATGAATCTCTATCTATGCAGGTCTATAAATATTGAATGAAAATTGTATGTTGAACAAAAGCCCTCCTACATTGAGGACATGTTGTCATAATGATTACTTTACTGAATGTATGTTTGATAAAAATAAATAAAAGTTTTCGTGCTACGATCAGTCTACCCGTCTAAAGAGGCACTATGTGAGCGCTTCCACACTTGAAAATAATTTTCACTTTAACAGTTTTGGGGCAAGGTATTGAAAAATTAAAAGAAATGAATTTGATCTGGATTGAATTTTACAAAATTGAATACATATATAATAGAGCCATGTGTACAAGGCTGTCGATTTTTAAAAACTTCAAATGTTTGAAAAATAGTTGAAAAAATATATCTTCCAGCTGGTTTGAAGGAACTGAAAGTGTTTGTGGATTTGGCAAGTATCTCTGCTGGAGAAGGAGATATAGAGATTGACAAGGTGCGGTGTTTACACTCCGCCACCACGGGATATGCTCCACTCATCTTCAACCTCACAGATGACATAGGCTATAAAGATTTCCTGAAGAAATGTGAGATGGTATGGAAAGAACTGGACGCTGATCCCAACCTCCCCAAGAAGTTGGTAGGTTTGTTCATGCTGACAATCCTTTGTAAATTTACTATGAGTGCGCTGTTGTTGATGACTTATTGAATTAAAAAAACGGCCCTAGCAATCAAATATAGATCGGGTATATATAACCTCCATATGATTGTAAGTCCTTGATAGAAAAAGCTATCTGTCATTATGGGAAATCCTATGAATTTTAGTGACAAGCTACCCTTTTATAACAATCAGCGTTCTGTACAAGATCATTTATTAAATAAAAATTCTTGTTCAATTTATTTCTGTTAGCTTTAAAAGATCATGCAAAATTTGTATGACATCCCCTTCATAAGTGAATTAGATGTACCCCCTGCCACAAAGTAAGGGTGGAGGTACACTAAGTGAATTAGATGTACCCCCTGCAACAAAGTAAGGGTGGAGGAACACTAAGTGAATTAGATGTACCCCCTGCAACAAATTAAGGGTGGAGGTACACTAAGTGAATTAGATGTACGCCCTGCAACAAAGTAAGGGTGGAGGTACACTAAGTGAATTAGATGTACCCCCTGCAACAAAGTAAGGGTGGATGAACACTAAAATTGGCTTGTTCATTTGTCTTTCTGTCTGAAGACACACTCTTATCTGCATAATTCCATCTGCAGTGTTTGGCTGAATTTCACAAAACTCCACAGATGTTTTCAACACTTTCTGAAGTTGTGCAACTAATATTTTGGTATTTTTTATGGAATTATGCCTTTTTTTATCCCCTGCTTTCACCGAAACAGGGGATATTAATTTTGGTTTGTCCGTCTGTCTGTCTGTCTGTCTGTCTGTCTGTCTGTCTGTCTGTCTGTCTGTCACGTTTCGTTTCCGTGCAATAACTACAATAAATGTTAACCGATTTTCTTCAAACTTGGTCACAGGGTTAAATGCCTTAAGGGCTCAGCCAAGTTTGATGACCACTTTCAGTGGACCCTATTTGGTGGAGTTATGGCCCCTTGAATAATGAAAAACGTCATTATCTGCCGCACTTCGTTTCCGTGCAATAACTACAACAAATGTTAACTGATTTTCTTCAAACTTGGTCACAGGGTTAAATGCTTTAAGGGGTCGGCCAAGTTCGACGCAGAGTTATAGCCCCTTGAGTAGCGAAAACGTTATTATCAGCCGTTTCTGTTCATTAACTTTCGCAAATATTATCTTATTGTTTTCAAACTTAGTAACAGGGTTCAACGCATTAAGGGCTCAGCCAAGTTTGACAACCTCTTTAATCGGACTCCATTTGGCAGATTTATGGCCCCTTGATTAACGAAAAACGTGATTATCTGCAGTTTCCGCTTAATAACTCTAGCAAATATTAGCCAAATTCCTTCAAACTTGATAACAATGTTTGTGTTCCTCTGTCTTTCCATCCATCTCGGGCACTCTTTGGTTTTCGTGTGTTAATTGCTGTAGATATTGTTCAGATGTTTCAACCAAATTCCTTATGCACATCCAACTCCATGCTAAGTTTGCCAACCGATGTGATTTGTGCTTAATTACAGATAATCAATGAAGTATAGGGCTTTTTTTCCCTTCAAGTTTCAAGCTATACATTATGTCTCAACAGCTTGATACTCACATGTTTAAACATCATCTCAATAATGTTAACCTACAATATGTCCTGCAAGCGGGGGATATAAATTCCATGAATTTGCTTGTTTTTACAAATGTTGGCCAAAATTTCCTCAAAGCAACATCTGCTACCATTTCCTTCCAAATGTTATGAAACTTTGTATGAGTCAGCAGTACCCAACACAGTTGTTCACTTGCCATTTATTTTGTTTTCAACTTTTTCAGTAGGAGTTATGCCCCTTTTTCTCATTTTTGTCAAAAGAATTTTTCGTGACCTTCTCAACTAATATTTATGAAAATTATTACACATCATCATTACCATTTACAGTTATTTATTTGCAATTTATTTTAAATTTCCACAGTCGTTAGAAGTTATGAACCTTTCACAGTTTTTCATCTATGAATTTTACCCCATCTATAAATTTTTACAAATTTTTTATGCAACTTCATACACATGACCATTCCCTAGCTAGCCATGTACTTGTGATGTTTTTCTCTCATTATTTTGATAGCAGTTATACCCTTTTCACACTCCTATATTTCGTTCAAACATACTTTATAGACATAAAATAATCAAAGGTATTGCACATAAGTTCTTACAATTTACTAAGCCCTCACCCATTTATACATTTCATCAGAAAATGGTGAACTATTCTGAAATGAAATTTACCTGACAGGTTTTCCTCAGAGAAGGTGACTTACATTCCTAGTTGTCCTCTGTTTCAGCGTGACACCAACAGACAAATTGAGTGGCTCAAGACTGTGAAAAAAGCTCATGGTTCTGTTGAAGTTACCTCCCTTGCACAAACCGCGGCAATAAACTCTGTTGGGATTTATCAGGTTGGACGTTTACCAGATCAGAAATGGGAGCAGAAACCCGTAAGTACTGTACAGATGTTGTAGAAGAGACTAATAATTCTGATAATTATAAATATTCTTAAAATGCAGCCTCATCATGTTTACCCCAAATGCTGCAATAATGTACCTATGTTCACGTCTTCACAATTATTAACAATTATGAAATATAAAAAAATAAAAATCAACTTAAGTCAACTGAATGCATTAAATTTGAAAATTAAATCATACATTAGTGTCTGAAATGTCAAATCTAATCTACTGCATATTGATTATGTTACATCTGTTCAATTATAGTAAATGTCTGTAAAGTATTGTAAAATGAATCAACAAAATTTTACTTCTAGCTGTTACTTGTTTCCATTGTTTTTTTCTATAATAATAATAATAACAATAAACTTTATTTATTGAGGATACAAAACCTGTTTAACAAAGCTAATCTTCCACAGGGTCCTCTGTTAGTAAAATTGGTTAGTAAAAAGACAAAGTAGTATCACAGCAAATAAATGTACATAAAATAATTATCACCGTTGCTACTTGGACATAATTGTTGGTCTTACTAAAACAGCAATTCATATCACAGTTATTTCATAATTTAAATGGTCGTTCAATACAGTTACAATAAAATTATCACAGTAGAAACGAAATATATTCCGTGCTTAACCCATTATGGTTTTCATTAAAAGACAAATTGTCTAATTTACATATATGCTAATGTAGCAAAACTAAAAAACTGACGGAATACACACTAATATAGCGAAAATAAAACAAATCAAAGCTGTATCTAAAAATAAAAGACAATTAAACCGCATTCTTAATGTTACCAATCATATTTTGTTTGAATTTTGTCAAGGAGGAAGAGAGTCGTACTTCAACCGGTAAATTATTCCAAATCTGGCTCCCTTGTACCAAAAAGTGTTTGGGATAAAATGTGGTACGGTGTTTGGGTACCTTTACAGAGTTTTGGGATGCTGATCTAGTATATCTGTTGGTAGACAAATTAAATTGATTAGAAAGATATCCTGGAACTAGATTATTTATACATTTGTACACCATAACACCTCTTTTGAATTTCAAATATTCGCCAATTGGTAACCACCCTAATGAAGAAAACATTTCTACTGATGGTGTATCAAATTACCTCTTTCATCAAGTGAGTCATTTCCTGTCAAATTCTGAAAAACAGTGAGTTGTCCCATATATATGAAGTTACTGAATTTTCCAGAACTAAATGAGTCAAATTGAAAAAGTATGAATATTTTACTAATAACACAAAGGAATATGAAAAAACTGCTCTTCAGAAGATTAAGATACGAGGGCAATTCAATAAATTCTGTCACCACACAGCTACTGGTGGTACAGGCAATAAAATATTTGACCACCTTGGCAGACTGCAACACCATTTAAAGAACAATGCATGTGCAAAATTTCGACATCATCTGACAAGAATCGCACAAGTTATTCATGTTAGAATGGTATGCACTCATGACTAGTGGCAACTTTTCAATGCTAAAAGGAAGACCAAGTCTAAATACGAAATATGCTCCTATGTCAAAGCACGGTGTGCTTTACAGATACCGCCAAAATAGATACATGCAAAGTGATGCAGCTTATTGTTTCAAGTGAGTGAACAAATTCAAGAATAGTAAAGTGGAAATCAAAGAAGAACATTGCTGCTGTGAAAACAATATTAGGACAATGGTGGTTTTACTGTTTCTGAGAGAGCTCATATGGTTGGTAGTCAATATTAGGACAATGGTGGTTTTACTGTTTCTGAGAGAGCTCATATGGTTGGTAGTCAATATTAGGACAATGGTGGTT